ACTTTATAAGTGTAAAAACAACTTTAATAAGTTTGCGACAAGAATTTTTTACAGAAAAGTTGAAAAGCTCACAAGCTGGAGCTTTATAGTCATTTCTTTATTTGGATCAATAATCAATTGATTTTGTAATTTTTTTCAATTCCAAATAAAAATGGGAACCTTGCAACTACTATCCATGCCCTTAAATTTATCCATGTAAATGAAAATGTGGTGAAATATTCACGTAAATTATCCTAATTAGACAAATTTAATTCTTTTTAGGCAATTGTGATGAGATTAAAAGCTTTTGGTATTATCACCTGGATCATCCTAGACATTCAATCAACCTACATGAGATTGTCAAATTACCTTTTGTAATGGCACAATTTTGATTAGACAAGGTATTTATAAATAAATAAATAAATAACAATCTAAAAGCCAAATTATATTAATTGATGCAACTATCAATTTAGATTGTTAAAAATACCCTTAGTTTAATACAATTATTTTTTAAAAAAATTGATCAATACAAATAGTATTTATATTATTTATAGTATTTTATATTTTTTAAATTTTATCAAATTTTTTAAATTTTTTATATTTATAATTTTATAAAAGATAAATTTTATATATCATTTTATCATTTTATAGTTTTATAATTAATTTTTTATATTTTTTATAATTTTTTATAGTTTTAATATTATATTTTTTATATTAAATTTAATTATAAATGAAATTCTTAAGCAAAAAAATTTACTGGAATTTTAAAAATATTATCAACTACAATAAGAACTATTGTAAAAAAAATTAAATATAATAATTTTATTTCTTGGTTTTATGTGAAATTTTATATTGAACTCTATATATATATATATATATATATAGATATATAACTATTTTTATGTATTTTTACGTCCTTAGTTGCAAATATTGATCAATTTGTGCTTGAAGAAAATATTCCATATAGTTTTAAAATAAATAGAGAGTTGCACCATTTAGTAGGAACATTGTTACCAAAAGAAGATATCAATCCAACTTATGTACAATTCTATATCTACAACACATCATTTGCATAAGATAGAAGAATGAGACATTATAAAGGTTTATGAAATAAAACTATGTGAAAAATTGGAGAAGTTTTGAAGGAGAATAATTTATTTATTGGATTAGATAAATAAGAATATGAAATACTGTCTCAAGCAAGGAATAAAGGAGTGCTGGAGGTAGATCTTGTTGTTTCTTTATACTTCATGAATAAAAGCAACAAATACCAATATAATCTTTTTACTATTTTTGAAGAAATTATGATTATATTCCCTAGAGATAGATTGGAATGTAATATATTTTGTAATATTATTATTTTTTTATGTAATAATAAACTATTAAAAAAGATTCATGAGGCTCATGCTACTTATTTGTCTCTTTATTATATTCTTTTTATTCTATACAAAATCCTTAGATGATATTCTAGCCTAAGAATACAAAATATAATGTTGGATATTGCTGAAGAAAGAGAAGATGCTAGAAAAGAAGAATGGAGAAGCAACATCCTCATACAAATAGATTATTTTATTTATTGACTTTTTTAAGGCCTACCAAATATTTTATAATTTTGCATAGAAAAATATTATTACAAGAATTTATGGTTGATGGATAAGCAACAACTAAGCAATCATGGTTGTAATATCTATGTTACAATCAAGAAAATCTATGTGCTAATTTATACCTAAGATTAATAGTTGTTACTATAATTCATCAAAGTATTGGGCCTAAAGAAAGAAGATATAAATTAAATAATTTAAGATGTGAGATCTTACTTCCATCATCACATATTAGAAGTATAAGATATATAATGGAAATACTTTAAGATTCTATAGCAATTACAAGGTTTTATTAGTATCCTGATGTTTTTATAACAATAATAATAAATCTAAGATGGTCCAAAATCTAAATTGAATTACTTCAAGCATAACAAGCAAGTGACCAATTAGATTTGATTGCTTGTATATTTGAGCTAAAGAGACATGCAATTATAGAAGATATAAAGAACAGGATTATCTTTGATCATATTGTTGCACATGTTTATACAATTGAGTTCAAAAGAAAGGTCTACCTCATATGCACAACTTGATTCTTTTGGATAGAGAAAACAAGATTAGATGTGCTAGAGATGTGGATTATATAGTTTCTAAAAAAATTAAATAAAGATAATGACCAAGAGTTATTTGAAGTTATTCTAGAATACGTAGTACATGATCTATGTAGAATGCAAAACCCTCAAGCACATTGCATGGAAGTTGATTGTTATACAAAGAGGTATTTAAAGATAATTGTAGAAGAAACAACAATGGATGTTAATGGATATCCTCAATATCAACAAAAATATGATAGAAAAACATTTAAAGTTTGAGAAATGGTTGTTGAAAATAACAATGTTGTTCCATTTTTTCTGAAACTAACTTGGAAGTATAATTGTCATATAAACATTGAGGTATGTACATCTATTTGTGCTGTCAAGTATATCATCAAGTACATCTATAAGGGCTATGATTGTATTACAATGTAATTTGAAAATCAATAAGAGGAGATCATGTAATATTTGAATGCAAGATACATTAGAGCTTTGGAGATTGCTTGAATACTTTTTGATATGCAAATCTATAAAGAAATGCCAAATGTTATTTGTTTGGCCATTCATCTTCCAAAAATGCATCAAGTGGTATATGATCCAAATTATGATGCAATTTCAATTTTAAAATGCACTAAAAGACAAAAAATAATATTAATTTTATTTTTTGAGATGTATGCAGCAATAGCAATGGCAAGATAATATATATACCAATAGTTTCCATAACATTTTGTTTGGCATAAGACAAGGAATAATGTGACTTCTATAATAGAAAAATGTAGATGTATGTTTTTTTTTAAAATAAACTTGTAGAAACTAGTCTTTGGTGGAAAGTTTTACCAAATATTTTCAATGATTGTAAAAGGAACTTGAGAAGAAATTGTAGCAACATCTTTTTGACATTTAGCACTTTGGCCTCAAATAAAAATCCATATATTAAAAGAATACATGACATTGAATTCAAGAGCATTTTAAGTAGATATTGAATTTGCTAATTAGCTTCTTCAGTTATAAAATGTACATACATGTTATATATATTAATGGTAGTATATTTGAATTCTTTATGGTTATATTTGCTACTTGCCAGATTAGAAACAATACAAAATTATTATCTAATAATGTAATTACGCTTCTTGATTACATAATTATTGATCAACAATTAATGGTCTTAGTTAATGTTGTTTATCCAAAGTTGGCAAAAGACAGTATAGCTAATGATGCCTTTTTAAGAGATAGAATCACTTTATCTATACAAAATGATGGTGTGGAGGATAATTAATAAAAATATTATGGCCATATTTTTTAGACAAGAATAAGAATATCTTAGCACCAATGAAATTGTTGAAGATGGTATCAACAAAAATAATATTTGTTTAGTCAAATTCATCAAGTCACTTAATCCATCTAAAATGGCCAAATCAAGGCTTTGTTGTAAGATTGGAACTCCAATGATGCTATTAAAAAATGTTGCTCCTTACCAAGGACTTTACAATAGAATCCAATTAGTAATTATTCAACTAATGGATCAAGTTCTTAAAGCAAGAATTTTTAGAGGACAATTTGCTGAAAACTTAGTGTTCATTCTGCAGATTACATTAACTTCCTCAACAAATGAACTTCCGTTCATTCTAAAGAGAAAGCAATTTTTAATCCGTCTTACATTTGCAATGACAATAAACAAATCCCAAGGACAATTGATGAAACATGTTGGTTTGGATCTACAACAACCTATTTTTTTCCATGGTCAACTTTATGTAGTATTCTTTTGATGCATTTTTTCCTCTTCTATCAAGATTCTTCTTAGAAATAACAATTTAAATTCCACACTAAGTATTATTTTTCTGAAAGTTTTAATTAGATAGATATTATTTTTAAAAATTATATATTTTTTATATTAATTAATTTATCTATAGTTCAAAATTTTAACTTTAAAATATCCTTAAAAGTCTTAATACACTTTTATGATTTTTTAATGTAATTTATATATATTATTTATAATTTCACAAGTAGTTCCTTGAACAAAATTACTTTTTTTGTATATTGTCTATGACAATGGCATAAGTTTAGCTATCCTACTTTGTAGCTGAAAGCTCTATTGTGAATTTTATTTCTTTCTATTCGAAAAAAAAATTAAAAATATTCTTTGGCTCACAAACATATTTTTCAAAAAATGATTCATTAAAATCACACTTTTTGAGACAACAATATAGGTTCATCTAAATATGTTCTATTGTATAAAGTATTAGTAATGATAAATTTTAATGTAAATAACCATAAATTCAGAAATTGGAAATGGGTATAAAAGTTAATACAATTTAAAATGGATTACTGTTTATTTTATACCATTTTTTCTGCAAGTATTTAAGAAATCAATTAAAAAATCTATGTATTAAATTAAATTTATTAAAGGCAGGTGCTGTAACTATCACAACTTTTCTTCATGAAAAAAGTGATAATAATAAATAAATAAAGGTTTTGGAACAAAATCTGTGTTCTATTGAAATATGAAATTCTATTTAAGCACTGTGTTGGCCACTCTTTTTAATACCACTGCATGTAAGCAAATCCTTGTTAGATGTAAACCAATTCAAAAGGTCATCAATCCAATCCATCAATTTTAGAAATTTATTAGTTTGTGGATGCAGTCTTTATACAAATTTCTTAAATGGTTTAACAGGCAGATAGCATCCATGTTGTTGCTTTGTTTCGGAACAAATTATTATCTGGTTTAATAAACAGTGTGTATTACCGCAAGGTATTAACAAAAGAAGAATTGATGAGGTTCATGAAGCTACTTGGTCCCAAGTGGGTCTTTCCTCTCAACTAGTTTTGAGGGCGTGAGGCAAGAAACGTGAAGAGCCTAAGTAGCTGGGAGGATAGGGCTGAGCACAGATTGATGGTTTTAAAGGGCAGGAATGATTGATCAGACTCTATTGAATTGACATCGCAGGTGGATGGATCGAACACCTCAAACAACTCATTGTACAAACGTCGAAGTGAGCTAATAAGCCTAATCAAAATGGCTGACCTCTTAAATGGCGAGAAGGTGGAGCTACAGTAGCAACTTCTTAGAACAACACTTTCTTCTTCTTCTCGAGAAGAGGAGGGTCGACGTCGATTCCCATGTTGGCTGCTGTTCCAGCAACAATCCTCATGGCAGACTCAATTGTTGTGCAATTCAGATCAGGAAGCTTCTCTTGTGCAATAGTCTTGAGTTGATCGATGGTGACCTTTCCGACCTTCACCTTTTGCGGATCGGTAGATCCTTTCTCAGCACCTGCACATTAGGAAAGAGGATGAGAATCACAAGAGAAAGTCAAGAGTGACCAAGGCAGTCCGTTGAGTAAACAGAGTCTAATCCCTTTGTAAAGAATAAAACTTAAACCCTAGCCTTCACATAGTTCATAATTAGAATCATAACAAAAAAAAAGCGTTAGCAAAACCCATGTCGATATGTATAGATATCCTACCTGCTGCTTTCAGGAGAAGGACAGAGGCAGGGGGTGTCTTCAAGATGAAAGTGAAACTCCTATCCTGTAATTGAAATTGAATTCAGGGATCCCATTAACAACGCTGGTGTTGCTTCCGAGTAAGACATTCTCATCCAAACCACATGAAAAAGCGTCGAAATATAATGAGTATTCAACTAAACACAATATTAACCGCTCAACTTCGCTAACTCATTGCAATGCGTATGAGCAGCATTTTCAATTCAGTCTAACATAAATCACTACAAAAATGAGCACTAGGGAACGAAGAAAAGACGCTGGAACCACATACATCGTAAACTGTGATCTCGACGGGGATGATATAGCCAGGCTTGTCAGCAGTCTTGGCATTATATTCCTTGCAGAAAGCCATAATGTTGACACCCTTGGAACCAAGAGCTGGACCTACGGGTGGCGCGGGGGTGGCCTTTCCAGCCTCCAAGGCGAGCTTCACAAGACCAACCACTGCATTCCTCCGCACCCATCCCAACTTCTTTCAAACGCTAGCGTACGAGACCGCAAAAATTGAACTACCAGAAACCATTCATGAATTCAATTCCTTCACGACCTAGAATACCACACCCAATCCCATTAAAAAAAAGAGCTTCCACACTTAAGAAAACACTCGAATACCTTTCTTCGCCTTCCCGGGCTTGGGTGGCGCCATGGCGACGACCTGCAGGGACTTGCGCACGGGCATTGATTGGATCCGCACTTCCACAGCTCGGAACGCGCCATTGTTGATTCCACACGACGATGAGGAGGAGGGCCCAGTGGTAAGAGGACGAAATGACGACCCCAACTTGGAGTCCAATCTTGCGCCCGACAGAGCAGTTCCACAGGTGGCCGCCATGGTGATGCGCTGCTGCAACTCACGTCACCGAACAATCCTCGCCACTATCGAAGGAGTTTGGCAATTTGGGTACCCAACTCCACAATCCCGTAGTTGAATTGCGATTGTGAAGAAGGCCGATGGGGGATAAAGCGAGGAGCGTTTCGTCGACGTCGGAGCCAGGTAGATAAGGCAAGCCCAAGAATGCTGATTTATACCCGGGAAATGATACCTGGTTAAGCAGATATCGGATCCAGTTGATATCCGCGTATTGATGTCTGTAAGGGTCTGATTCTCAAGTCCTACCAGGTGCGCGGATTTAGGCTGCCTCAGGCATGCTTGTGGACCCATAAGCACGAAAATGATACGATAACATGGTTATTTAAATGATTTATTACAAACATGGCATAAGCATGTGATCTTGATGTATTGTTACAGTTAAAATTGGAAACACATTGAGTTAATGTCATTTTGAATCTAATTTAAATTTTTTGGCCTTATGTAGGAAAACTTTCATTTGTGTGGATATGTAATGCAATGTGATAAGTTGTAAGCAAATGAATAAATAAATAAGATAACTTTTAAAAGTGGGCTTGTATTTTTAAACTCTTGTATTTAAGATTTATTTCTGCATTTTATTATTTATGAAGTATGGAAATATTTTAGAAAATCATTTTTTTGAAATGCAAGCAGGAAAAAAGAAAAAAAGGTAAGTTGTTGTTGTTGTTGTTGTTGTTGTTGTTGTCATTCTTTTTTTTTTAGATTACGTAAAGATGACTCAACAAAATGTTTACCTTTGCATCTGCTTCTTCAAAATCAACAAAACCTGTAGGCTTTTGTTCCTCCTCCTGCCACCGCCAGTTCGAAGCTGAACACTCCAGTGTACTTAATTCTAGACACAACTTTAAATAATAAATTGTTGCCTTGTGGGACTTGATTGTTGTGAGCAACTTCAACTTGATTTATATCACTTAACCTGCCGTGGATTTTCTACCTTGTCCTACAGAGAAATTGTACAAGGGACCTGAATTCTTTTTACTCGCGTGTTTACTCGGCAACTTGATGTGTGCCGCTTTTTCAGTTGGGTTTCTGGTCCCACCACGGCTAGCAGAACAGCTCGGAGGGGTGGACATCGTCACTCTGTTGCTCATCAAATTCTTGATCATTTGTTGTCTGGTAGCCATAGAGCTTTGGTTCAGATCTTGGGGTTTGAAATCCACCGAAAGCTTCCGCACAGAAGAGTCCCCTGTGTTACTCTCGAAGGATTCGGTTTCCACTTGCTGCTCGGAAGTGTGAGAGTGGTCTCCATGAGATTTGCGATTTTCGGGAAAATGATGGTGCCCAGTTGTCTTCATTTCCTTCACTGTACTTTTCAGAGAGACGCACTTCGTATCTGAGGGTGGAATATCTCTCTTGAGTTGCTCACATTCCTCACAATGCTCGCACTCGATGGAGTTGCTTCCTGTTGACTCAGCGTCCCAATGTTGAGTCCTTTCGGTTGAAATGGATGCATCCTTTGATTTCCTTCTTGGTGCACTCTCCCCAGGCATTTTCATTGCAGGTGCAGCTACTTCAGGTTGCTTTTCTTTTCCTTTTCCTCTTGGCTTTATTATTAAGTTGGACTTGACTAGCTTCCTTTTCGCCATTCCAGCTTTGCGAGAATCGACTACTTTACGAGTTAGTACCCACCTGACCAAAGTATCTACCGTTTCAACTTGGCATACAAAAGGTAGACTATTGTATTTCTCTATTTTTATACTGTATTTCTGTATTATTGTTTTTTTTTTTATGGAAACTAATCGGGCCATCATATGACGTTTATTAATAAGGTAGTTTCTAACAGAATATAGATTATGAAATTTTCTTAAGACAGCTTTCAATATAAGATAATTGCATAATATAAAAAAGTAAGGACCAGTACATTCAACTTACAAGTCCCACAAACGCCTCATTCGTATGACGTGATTCTCTATCTCCACAGCACACTGTCACCCCACAGTAATGTTCAAAGGTGTTCCACAAACGTGCCTTGCAAAACAACCGACAGACTTCAACACTATGCAGATGGTTTTAGATTAGAAGCTTCAGTAATATTAAAAAATTGAGTTAGAGAAGAACCAATATGTTAGTAGTGTAGTATTGAACTACCTCCTGCCAGGATTCTACATTAGGTGACAAAGATAGATGCCGCCAACAGATAAAACGTGAAGACATCACATCATGTTCCACCTGGCACACCACAGCCACAAAATTCCAGTTATATCTCGTGAGTAAACATGGACATTCCTTCATCTCTAGCACCATAAAAAAGAGAATGGACTTTATTAAGATCGTAAAGAGGAATACGGATAAAGCCTTATAACATCGAACTAGATACACCACCACAGTGACACGTTTTTCAAGGAACAAGGGATGAAGTTACATACCGGGAGGCCAATTCGAATTTTCAAAACAGTATGGGCACTCGCCTCGTAAGCTTTTAGATAGTTTTTAATGATATTTGACATGCTGCAAACAGAAACAGGGGTTATGCACCTCTTCTTACAGGGATGAAAGAAGTCTCGACCATCGGCTTGAGCATCCTGAGGATAAAACATCTCGACACCGACTTAAGAAACAAACATCCTATATACCAGAACAGAAGATAGTACATAAAAATATACATACATACATACATATACTAAAAAAAACTAAAAAAACTAAAAAACTAAACAAATAACGATCTGAATCAATTGTAGGCGATAACATGTCATTTACCTATCAAATTGAAGATTTTTTGTCATGAGATCAGGATTTGAATTGATACCAAAAGCTCCATACTTACCGTTGCATTTCACCAATAACACCGTATGCTGAGTAACCTGTCCACATTGTGGGCACTGTCACATGTGAGAAGGAAATTGACAGAGAAAAAAGACATCAAGCACCCATCATGCTCAGCAATCTGATCGCACTCTACTGCAATGGAAGTGGCAAACTGACCTAATTGGGAGAACAGGGCAACATCGAGTACCTCGTCTGCAAACTTGGTTTTGAATCCAACTGGTATACGCTCCACCGAAAGAAGACCAGCCTGCGGAGGTGGTTTTGGGAATTTACTTACGATAAACTGTGTTATAGGATGTCATCTATGACATTATGCTGATCAAGACCTTATTTTTTTAATAATACTGAGCCTCAGATATATTATAACAAACAGTACGTTTTGCTCACAGTTAAATACAATGCGAGAAACACGGCCTCCACAGCCTTGATTGGCCCAGGCTTGTACACAATCTGGAACATGTAGCAAAGTACAATCAAGAGATATCATCAATTACAGCTGCAGGGGGAAAAAATCCTTCATAGAAACTTGTGCACACTGCAATAAGCTCTGCTTCATTTGAAGATACTATTGGAAGCGGATTGTCAGAAGAAGTTACCATTCTGGCTGTAGCCATGAGACGACATAATGGCCGCTGTTTGTTTGCCTGGAGGGACGTTTCCGAGTTCGGTTTGTACACATAACCAGCAAGAAGCTATTTCATGCGCAATAAGGAAAGGCCACTTAATACTACTAGAAAACTATTTTAGAATCTAACATCTTATATTCAACTGGTTGATGCACCTTCTCAATTTCAGCATTAACAATAATAATAATAATAATAATAATAATACTACCATCTTCACAGCTCGAAGGCGTTGCTTAGTTGGGAGCTCGAAGAAGTTGGAGGGCAACTTTGGCCCACAATTTGAATTTGGGGTGACTTTCTGACCATGAGTCCAGAGATTACGCTCGCTATTATCAGCATCCTGGAAGGCGATTCAAGCTAAGTTGTTGGACAGTAAATAACAAAAATAATTCAGCTCAATACAGCTTGTTTTTACAATGAAACGAGTTCGAGAAGATCTGAGACTCCGAGTGACAACAAGATAGTGTTCACAGAAACTCAAATGTGTCATCAATGCCCTTCGAATATTGCATCCTATTTTATAGAGGAACGGAAAAGGGAATGAACACACTTGCTCATAGGAGATTTTGCACTGGAGAGAAGAATTGGTTTTATTACTGGTCGACCACCCATCATCCATAGGTTTGTCAGGCAGTATCTGCAAGTTGGATGTGATGGATGACGTCTCATCTTGGATGTCTTGCAAGTCTACTGGATTCTCCTGAGAAGTAGAAGTCAGGTTTTTCTCAAATCCGTTCGATTGTGGGGTGCTGCATGTTACCATGTCCCTGACTGCTCGTGCAGCTCTCTGACGTATTTTCTTGAGCCAACTGAGAAAGATATCAAAGACTGCAATTCTGTGTCTCCGTCGGGGGAAAACGCACTGGCCCGTAGCCCAACCAAGAGCAGTCTCGCCAGCGTCATCTGACCGTGTGCTGATAGAACCCTTGGACATGTCATCTGTACACAATCATAATTCTCGCAGAGAATTGGCCACACTTAGTGTCCTCCATTGTGGTGAGAAATCGTGGATATCTGTTCATAGATCAATACATAAAAAACTAATTCTCTCCCTAACTAGCCAGAAGCTTAATCCGTTCATCGATGTGAACTAAACTAACCTAAAACATGAGTTTTGCAACTGGATTTTCTCGATTATTTAAATGAAGAAACTGACTAAGATTTACTCGTGACTTGAATAATCTAAGCAACCATGAGAGGTTAGGTCTAGCTGTTCACCATATCCTACTTCAGGACAAACTCAAAAATAGAAGACATATATTTAGGTCATAGATTTAATTTGTATTATTGAACGATTTGTGTCATTACAGATCATTCAAAGTGAAGATCAGCGCTTGCTGTAGAAACGATTCATTCTGCAGTCCTCTTTTCCAACTGAGGGGTTTGATTAAGAAACTGATAGCAAGCTCTCCGAGCTCATGTATACCCAGGATTGTATGATATGTCGTCCCAGATATCTATGGCTGCAACTCACTGCAGAAACCTACAGAGCGTCAAATCACATCACGCAACTTTCTCAGAAGTGAGGACTCACAGATCTGTCAATTGGGAAGATCGTGTGGGTTAATATAAGTGTTTGGTATGATATACACATCTGAACTCACAAATTAACCTACAGGTATACCTTTAGAACCTTTCAAGATCTTCAAAAGCTCAATTGAGGACGGAAGAGGCTGGCTCATTCTTCTTGGGGTTATCGAATGGAAGTCTATCCTCACTTGACTTCCACCTTGCATTGGTGTTTAACAGTCCTAAGAAACACAGTGTCCATGTGATTGGGATGGTGAAGGTGTAGTAGTATGCAGTCCCGATATGCACCTACGAGACAACTCTTAAGGAGATGGCAATTTTAAAACGACCTCAGAAGAGAGTTACCGATGATACTGGTATTAGTGCAAATTGATGCACTCGAGTTCATTAAGCAGTGGGCATGAAATGTCCAGAATAACTTTCCTTTGAGATCATGACAACAGCCTTTGAGAACAGCCTTGATATTTCAACACAGAATCATGTTTGCATCCCATTGGTTGGAGATTTCAGCAGCTGCGATTGATTGCAACCGGGGTGATGGGAGGGCACAAATAGACACCAGTAGCGCTGCCCTCTTCCACAAATCTATACATGCTGTCAATCGACCTTCTCTCAAAAGAATGCCGCCGTTCTCGCAAGTACTTTCATGGCTCCTCGATCACTGCTGATTCTAACCAAAACCAGAAAACACACCAATCTCAACAAGATCAAATGCACAATTCACCCGAGTTGGGATCGAATTCGTCGGCACACTCCCATCTGTCCACCCGACATATAGATTCGTGAATTCCTCGGTTTAGAGAAAAATCAACCGTAACCCTTTGGCACTCAAGGCTTCAATCACAAGTAGTTGATAACAGCCTTCTTTCTTACCTGCAATAGATCTGATAGGCCACTCCTACTGATTGAAAATTGCAACGTGTTATAGTTCAATACATCTGCTCTTCACTGTTTCGACGAGGCTTTTGAAAGTCCCGTTTGCAGAGCAGAAAATTATCCCAGTGATCTACATAGCCCCATACTCTTCAGGAAGGCATGATCTCTCACTTACTGGTCCAGAAATCTTCTATCGCAAAGATCTAGTATGGGTTGCGAGTAATTAAAACATACTTTTCAGACCTCGGAGAAGTGTCCTTGGATTTGGGCCTTACGAGGGTTCAAGGAGGTCAAGGGAGATTACTAAATTAGGGTCTAGAACGAGAACTTGGATTATCCCATGGCGAGTGCAACTTTCGCAATGAAGGAATGAGTAGTGACGTCGTTTGTCTATGCACATCGAATGCAAATGAACTAGTCTTTTAAAATGAAGTGCAGGCGCAAACATTACAAGAAGTCACATGACGACTCACGGACAACAACCGAAGTATTTTGAAATTGGAAACCTCGGGCTGATAAAGGATGATTAACTCACAGAAAAAGGGGTAACATACTGGGGGAGAAGCGTGTTCAACTGTCGCCAAACATCACTACACCGTTGCATTTCACTCATTCGATGCGTGCATACTTTTCGGACGGGAAATTGTGGGGTTGTAGCGAGAGAACAAAACCATGCAAGAGTGTGAATTATATGTAAGAGTAAGCCGAACGGTTTTACCAAATCTCTATCATGTTACTTCGCTTATGTAGAAGTGGATGGACTTGATTGCCTCTTCAAAGTTTCATTCCTAAAGAATTGCTGCAGACAACTTCCATTCTCCATCGCCAAAGACTCTCCGGAGCTAACATACTTCCTGAGACAAACTCAATAGTGAAAGGAGTAGGAGATAGTCACAAAGGAGTACGGATCCATGCGCGACACAGCTGACATCTTTTGCTTTTCCTGTGACTAGAACAACTCATTCGTTTGAAAGGACTACATACGATTGTGAGAAATGCAATCTACTGAACAGGAGATGATATTTTCCAAAACGTTCTCATAAACTGACCAGAGAGTTCGAAATCTCAGAGAGAGCAGAATATAAACTACTACATTGTATAGCTAAGCCAAAGTTACGTCTGATTCTCACCTTCAAATGAAACCTAATATGACCATCGTATGTACGTAGAAATACAATGCTACGAGAACCTTGTATTAAGGAAACGGCACTTTCCTCACAAAACCTCAAAATGTTACAACCCTACTTCGTAAATGCGGAGCAAGATCGTCAATTACGATGTGTCGAGAAGATTGTCAAAATAAAGGTTGACGAAGTATCGGCCCAGAGACTGAACATCCAGGCGTTTTTCACTTGGCTGGTACTTCCCCCTCCTCAATTGGTACCGATATGTTACACCAGAAACAACATAGGGCTCTCCTTTCACCTCCACCGTCTCTCCACATTGGGTGTTCTGCAAATATAACACACATCGAAATCCATTACAGTCATGCTTGCACATAGCTGCCTAGTTGAAAAACAATAAATTATAAACTCGCATTTCCATGAGGTTGATATGATTTCCAGAAAGAGCGTTACATACCGGAGGCAGGCTGTGGATACCGAGATTTCGTGGAGGAGGAGTAATCACCGTCACATAATACGGTGCAAACGTCTCTCGATCACCTCGTTCTCCTCGCTCCCTCTTCTTGCACACCACTTCTACAACCGAAGGCTACTTAACACAAAGAACCCCGTGAATCAGCTTCCAAAAGGCCTGGTGTCCACGTCACAACATCAAATACAGATGCGATACCAACAAGGCAATTCATCTAAAGAAAGGACTTTAAAATAGGAGTAAAACGAAAGGATTTAGTAATGTACCGGAGAAGATGAGGAAGAGGAAGATGGTAACGAAGTCGACGAGTACGGATTAAGCCCTTTTATGGAGGAGTTTCCAAACGCACCCAAATGCAAGGGTGATGATACACAACGTGACCCACAGGCCATCGACCCCTCTCTCTGATACCAAACCCTAAACACCTCCAATTGGAAAAAAATCAGTACTCAACGCCCTACAATTGAATCACCGAATCTGTTGCACTCAAATTCTGCGAACCAGACTTCCGAAAAACCAACTTTCACAATCACTCCCACAGACTGAACCCACTACTACACCCTTTAATCAGATTCAAAACAAAGCTGCTGCTGCTGTGGTTCGATACCTTCAATTGCAATACAGCTTTGAGTACCGTGTCACTTCTATGGAACTGACACGAAAGACCTCGTCCACGCAGCAGCAGCACCCCTACGGTTGTCTCTCAGCTTGCAGCGAGAGATGAAATTTCGCATGCGAGACCTGTCGAACAAGCACGGAATCTGGGGTTGCAAGATTGTTTCGCTACACCCACAAATGGCCCCACATGCAATGCGTTAACCACATCCACTGCGAACCACGAAAATTACACAAAAAAAATCAGGCTGCCGCATTTCCCACTTCTCTTCCGTCTTGTCTTTTCGGATTTCCTCGCTGTTTTCTTTAAGCAATTGTTAGCAAGAGAAACGTGATGGACCCCGAAACACTCTTGATTGCCTTCCAATTTGAGCCACAAACTGCTCTCATGCTTGCTTTGGGGATTGAAGGAATTCAATTGTGAGAAAGACGTGAGAAAAATGTTCTGAGTAAACAAGGACGAGCCAATCAACTCTCAATGGATGAATGTAGTGTTCACTTCCAAAAAAGTGGTGCTTTTTGCAATCTTTTGAGAAACTTATGAACTACTTGGAGAGGGAGTTAGGATAAAATTCCTCCCAAATTGGAATCTGGTATTATATTTTTTTTATTTTATTTTTGTTCTTTTACAAATATCAAGTAGTTCTAAATTTGTTTTGATTTTATTTTGGTATGTCTACTTGCATGAATTGGGAATTCAATGCTAAGGAAAAGAAGATAAGAAAAAGAAGAAAGAATTGCAAGTAGGCCAAAACTAAATTTCTAACAACCATATTCCTTACTTATTAAAAAAATGTCTTTAGGATTTAATTTAAATCCTAGAACTAGTAGTGCTAGTAAGTTTTTTCAACCAATTACACCAATCTCTTTAATTAATACTTGTCTATGATGGAAAAATATGAAAGACAAAAAATTAGTAAACAATTTAATAAATGGTTGTGGATATAATCTTATGATACCATATTTATTCATGGAACTAGTCTAAAAGATGTCTTGCCAAAGATAATAGATGATAGGGATATGTAATCTATTTTTGTTCATTAAAAGAATCTATTTTTTTTTTCTTCTAAACTTGTAATTAATTGCAATTGAAGTTCCTTGCTAGCTAATTGATTGGTCAGCTTTTTACCTTTGATTCTAAAATTTTGTTGTATTTGACATATACCTCCCAACTACTTATGTAGCAAGATAGACTTGAGTTGATTGCATAGTCAAAGGCATTCTTAATATTATTGAGAATGTTAAGAATCCTATAGTAGATTAAAATTTCAATAAATGATTAAACTATTAGTTTTAATTCAAATTTTGCTACCTTGTAACGACTAAGCTAACAACATGCACAATTTTTTTCAAAAAGATTGCACATACTAAATAAATGATAAATTTTAAAATACGCTTGGCTAATGGCTAGCCTTCTTTTTTAATCTTGGTGCTAATCTTCTCAAGCCAAAATCTCTTAATTTCGTTGTTAAATACCTCTCAAAATTGACATATATGTTGAAAATCAAGTCTAATATCCATACACACAAATTTCACCTTAATCCAACTAGTAGATTACTAAAGATCTTAAAAACCCTCATTGATCCTCAAAATCCCATAATTGAGACACCAATCTACTTGAACTTCAATAACTATCAATCTAACCATTCAATTATACTCAAATTTATAGCACACAATAAAAATAATTATAATCACAAACCTACAAATTATTATTTATAGATCTACTATCAAACTTACAAAATTCTTCCAAATGTAAGCTCTTTTTTTATTTCATAAAATCAAATTTATCAAAAATAACCCTAATTTTGCAAAGCTCTAATAATTTCATTATAAATTGAATTTGTTCAAAATAAACACTTTAAAAAATCCTATAATGTCTTTTCTTAAACTCCACTCTTTGATTTACAAAAAGAACCTCAAAGTCACTATAGGTATGTTATTTTGTGTCTCAACATTTGATTTCGACTTAGGTTGACAACTAGTCCTCTTTGGATATCAACTTTTGATAATTTGAGGTAAATTTTGCATTAACTTACTATTACCTGTCTTCTAAACATGTCTATATCAATTTCTTATCTTATTTATTTTGATTTAGCTCATTTATGCCTCTACAAAGTAAATTGAAGGCCTTTTCTATTAATCGCAATATTAAGATTAAATTTTTTATCAGCTTTCTATAATTTATGATTTTTTTATTACATCTTTCTATTAGGCTTTTTTTATAATAACACCCATATTTTTATTTTTCACCATATACGTTATGTTACTACATGACATCAATCTCCTCTAAACTTGTGCATCCTCTGGTATGTACCATAGAATTCAAATCTTATTTGATTCATATTATGTTTTTTATGTCTTCATCCAATTTTTCTTCATCATTTTTGCTATTCAAGTTAAAATTAGCTTCTTGTCTTAAAAGATTTATGTCTTCAACAAGGTCTTTTATACTTATTTTTGTCTATCTTTATTTGAATATTTTGATTTTCTTCCCTACAATTAGTATTTTTAACCTTATTCTATTTATATTTTGTAATGAGTAAGTCGCATTATCATAAGTAATTTTTACTATATATAGTCCAAACCATTATTTAAAAAACTTTTTTAAAGTGTTATGTTGATTGTCTAAGTGTGAGTCATCAAATTGACTCACTTATTATTTTAGGATAAAAATATACATTTAAAATTCTTTAAATCATCATATATAGTAAGTAATATAGAAAACTTTAGAGAAATAGAAAATTAGAATGTTAGTAGTAGAAATGAAGTCTTAGTAAGTCTTCGAGGTAATTATCTTCATTAGTTTAGTATTTTTATTCATTATTAAATATTAAGGATTATTTATTAAGACCAATACTTATATTGGTCTTTTATCTATATATATTACTTATAAAAACTATAAATATTAGTAGTTAGAAGGAGTGTGAAAAAGAACCTCATGTCATTTTAGTTATTGATATGAAAAATAGGATTTATAGTAGATTTAAATTAATTTTTATTATTATCAAAAATCATCAAGATAGAAAAATGTAATCTTAAATGGATATTAGTATTATAGAAATATTTTAGGATTTTTCAGAATTTATTTAGAATTTATATAGTATTTTCGAGGAATTTTTACAACAATTTTCAAGATCTTGGTAAAAATGAGTTTTACTACTTTGGGAGTCTTTATGAAGAAATTGAGCAAGATTTGAAGGCCACACTAAATTCTTAGGCTAATTGGGTGTTTTTGAATATTCTAATGAGGTCAAAAATTCAAATTTTTTGATTCTTCTAGTAGAAAATAGGAGGATCAATTGTCACAGATATACATATAATTACCTACAAGAGTCGATAAAAGTATGTAAAAGTAGATAAAGTAGGTTAATTGTGCAATATCTTCTAGAGAAGCTTCATAGAAGCTTCATAGATGCTGCTTTGACCTTATAGGAGTCCATAGTTGACTTTTAGGTTAGAAACTTGGTCAACAAGTTAGCCATATGCCACACATGTTGGTAGCTTGAAGGACAAGCTAACTACGTAGTCCACTCATAGAAAACTTGCCTTGCAAGCAAAGACATGTGGCCTAGAAAGTCAACACATATTAGAGGTCTTATAGAATATCGCCATGTGGCTTCTAGTTAGATAGTATATATATAGAGGCAAGAGTGAAGGCTTCTTCACTCTTGTCAACTCCTTTCTTGCTTCTAGTCTAGTTTCAAGGGTCTCTAGTTTTCTTGTCTTTTGGCAATAGCTATTCCAGTTTCCTTTTAATATACCTACTTGTTTATATTTTAACTTATTATATCGAGATAGCCTTTTTGTGTATATTTTCCCTCATCGAGTCTTTGTCCTTGACAGATTGACAAGAGTACACTTACAATATCAGAGCTTTGTTTTTCTTGAGTAAGAGTGGATTACCCCTTTCTCTTGACAAGACATAAGCGTATTAGAAGTTTGCGGATTACCCACTTCTAAACTGATATTGTTCTTAGTATCTTCTTTGTTATCAAGTCTTTCTTTTCTTTTGTCTTGAGCAGTATCAAACAAATTTTTCTTCTTAGTGTCATTATGACAGAGCTTGTTAAAATGAAGAGTGCAATGGCACAAATGCAAGAGCAAATGAGGGAGTTAATGCTTGCGATGCATCAACTCAATTCACCAACACATGAAAGAACAAGAATAACAGAAAGTGGGGATATAGAGATGATCGGAGCTGCTTCAACATCTACAACAAATCACGTTCCTTCTCCAATTGTACAACACCCTGTAAGCACTAGAGAACGAAGAATTGCCTTACCCGAGAAATTTGATGGTACGAGATCAAAGTTTCGAGGGTTCATCAATCAAGTACAATTGGTAATTGAACTTCAACCGCAAAGCTATCCAACTCCAAGATCACAAGTCAGGTTTATTGGCACTCTACTTTCTGGTTCTACATTATCATGGTTTTTGTCTTTTCTTGAACAACGAAATCCAATATTGGACAATTTGGAAGCTTTTTTGGTGGAGTTTCGATCTATGTATGGTGAACATGATGCAACTCGTGTTGCAACAAATAAGATCCAAACTCTGCGACAAGGAAATCGCTCAGTAACAGTATATGCTTCACAATTTCGACAACTTGCAATTGACATTAAGTGGGATGATGCTGCACTCATCAGTCAATTTCTTTATGGATTGCAATACGAAGTAAAGAAATTGATGCTCAACTTACCTGATCCTCAAACTTTGAGTCAAGCAATCGATTTTGCGATAAAATGTGATAATCGACTTTTCGAATTTCGATCCGAGAATCATTCACGGGAACCTCAACGTTATTACTC